AAGCGGGCCGAGTGCCCTGACACCGGTTAACAGATGCTGCCGCGTGATATCCAGCCACGGGAGTGAACGTCGCGGCGCCTCACCGACCACTGGATCCTACTGGATACCAGGCTACCGACCTGAAGAGCTCGGTAACTCTGGTCGTTTGCGAATCACGAGACACTTGTGAGAAGTTCGAACTTCGTTTTTTCGATGCTCCCTTTCTTCATGCGAACATATTTTAAGGAGGAAGAATTATTTCACCGTTGAATTATTCTCGTTGCTTTGCCATTTTCATTTTACGTGTCTGAATTCAATTTCATTAGTTAAATTAACTTTGGTATTTTAATTGTTTGAATTATTGAATTTAGATATTATCGTAGTATTGTGGTTGTATGACATGTAGCTTTGAATATTATTGTATTAGATCTATGTGGTTGTATGAGGTGTGGATATTTTGATGGTCAACAGTATTATGCATACGATCGTATGTATAATCTGTGCGTCTTTGACTATAACAATGTTGGAGAACAAGTAAGATTAGTTTCATTTATTCGTGATCTTAAATCAACCCTTGGAGTTATAATGCTGTGGTAGCAATTATGGTAAAAAGCAAATAGTCCTACGGAATGTGAATTTGAATTTTCAATTTTCATTCTTCGAGCTGAAGATTGGCCAAGGCTGAGAAAAGAATCGAAAGGCAAGGGATTAAAAGAACTTCACGACTCGATGTTTGATGATTCAGAACGAAAATGGAAAAGTTGGTCTCTTTCATCTTCCTTCACCCTACAGAGTCTACGATCTGACTTACAGTTAGTTTCTACTTGCTAGTTTTAATCTCAAAACGTCCTTATCTGTGACGCAGTCCTGCAACAACGTCATCCGCGTGCTCACACACGGTAAATCACGATCGCGCCCGGATTTATGTTATTTGCGTTTGCATCAAACCGGGCGGGATTTGTTGGCAATTAGACCGATCGTTAAAGGATCCAGCGCGTCGTGAAAATGTGTATACCGAGCCGCTTTTGCGATCTCGTTTGCACGGCAAATCGAGATAACGAGTTCTCCTTTGCGCGAGTACCGCTCCCGTTATCACGTACGTACGCAACCTGCTTAGGCCCCGCAGTGCAAACACAGTGGCAAAAACAACAGAGGAATTATGTCTTATTCCGGATCCGCTCGAATAATTCGCCAACTGCCGTTACTAACAATTAGCGAGCAATCTTCTCGCCAAAGGGGCAAAGTTCGTCGAAGAATCTGCTCGCGAGCGATATACAACAGTCTCATCTGTATCCCTGAGTATCTAGCTAACCGAACAAGCGGTGATCCACAGGAAGCTAAATAAAAAAAAAAAGAAAAAAAAAAGAAAACGTCTGTTCTACCACCGTGTAGGTGGACCAAACACACTCTTGACAACGCGCCGGAAATAAAACGGCGCGTGATAACGAGAGGCAGAAGTGAAGAGGCGACGGTGGCGACCGGTTGCGGTGACGGGAAAGCGGAGAAGCAAGGAAACTCCCAACGGAGGAGGAGGAGAAGGAGGACTATGGAGGAAGGGCGAGGAGAGGCGAGGGGGATGGGAAG